GTACCTTGGCTAACCAAGTACAATGGCTGGTCTGTACACACATTTTACTTTAACAAGTATCACGAAGGCACGCAAACAGGCGTAAATTACAGATGATATACCCTTTTCATTACACAAAAACCTGAATTTATTGAAATTTATTTATAGATAAAGCTAAATTTTAAAAAATTAGAGGGTCTGTGGGCCGGGCAAAGGCGCAATCCCCGTCCGGCCATTTTTTTCTGAGACAGGAATGCACCGTGATAATGATGAAACAATGATGTGCTGTGAGTAGTCAACTCACTTGATTGACTGACTGACTGACTGACTGGCCCTCAAATTTGGTTCAGCTGTTACACAGTCAGCTGGCGCACAAGTGACTACGGCTTTGACAAAACATGGAACAACCCAAAACGAGCCAAAACGACTACAAAACGAACCAATCTACCTCAATATGGCACAGAATCAAAAAGGATGAGTGATCAGCCATTTGAAAGGATACCTTGAACTGGCAGTTGGGGGCGCTATTCTCATCTCGCTAATTAAGCGATGTCCCTCAAGAAGTCACGCAACATAAGTAAATAAATAAAAAAATCGTAATGAATATATGTATGCAAATAAATAAATAATAAATTGATAAAGACACTTTACACAATTATCCTACATCGGCCAAGTGAAATTGTAATATTTTCCGGAAACTACTAGTATTTGGTTTTTGTCGTAATTTCATAATTAATTAGCAGTAAACAATTAATACATTTAGTGTTTAGCTGTGATTTTCAAAGCTTCACCTGTAGAAGTGACATTTGTTTTTTTTAATAGGATTTTGAAATGAACGGCTAAAATAAAAAAAAAAACATGTTCATGTTTAGAAAAAATCCCATGTCACTGCAGTCACGCTGTTTTTCTACGCAACGGAAGCCAACCCAACACAGCCAGAAATCGTCTTATCATGCTCGCATGAATGATACGCCACAACAAGCAACGCTCCTAACATAGCTTATTCTTCCATAAAGTGTAATGTGGTTCCGTTTAATTCCTAGTAAATGTGAATGCGAATGAGCATAGTGGGCCCGGGCTGCCTTTGGCCATATCTAATGCCACATAATTAAACCATTTTACTGAGGCTTTTGTATGGTGTAACTTTTCCTGTATTACATTGTCCCAAATATATTATATAACTGTACACATATATTGGTTGACGTTGACTGTATCTGTCCATTATGTGTAATGCATTGTGGATAAAGTTACGTATATATATTTAACTTACCAAAAGACACATTTAAGGTGCCTTACATTAATAATAATGGGAGTCATTGTCGTATTTGTGACGTCACACCTACCACGGTAACTATGTCACTAAACATTAGGTTAAAGTTTGTAATTACTGTATTGCATATCAAAAATCATAATATTTGTAAAGTGACTTAATTCAAGCACGCACTAAATACGTCGTACAATTTACCTTCAGGGAAACTCGATATAGGGCAGAGAATAAAGATTTTCAAGGTACGGTTACCCATTTGCTTTTAACCCAGGTCATCTGTACAGATCTTAGGAATCATAGCAGAGTACATGAGATACGAGTTTACCGTCATGCAACACGTCAGCCAGTGGCACACTAAAGTAATGTTGTTTATATTAAATACCATCATCCGAGTCGCACGGTCCCGTGTCTTAGGCCCATAGGCCTCTACACACAAAGTAATCAACACGCCATAATGTCAGATTAATTGCCCCCGATGTCGGGACATAACTCTCATACTTATAGGAGTCTCGTTGACTTAACCAACTTCCATAGTCGACCATTATACCAGCCAGTTGTTCCAATCACTAATTCCCCAACATAAGAATGAACCTGATCATGACAAGTTACGAGCAGGTGTGGATCATCCAGGGGTCACCAGTGAATGTCGCTATAACTGCGAAAAGCGGCTTCACCGAAATACATGGAAATATAAATCATGACAGTACGTCTTTAGCTCGAACATAGAACACGTTCCCGGGGTATTTGAAACCGAAATTGTCATTGCAACTCAGCAGCTAATCAGCGACGTGATGAAC